GGTGGCGTGGGGGGCGGCGGGGCGCCCTCGGGCCGCGGTGCCTCCTCCTCCATGTTGACGGCGTGCTCCGCGTTCTCCATGATCTCCTGCAGCAGCTTCCGCTTCTGGTACTCGGGGCCTGCGGGGAGAGGGGTTGGTGTGAGGAGCTGCCCCGGGGGCCGGAGGGACGGCAGGCCGCCCCAGCTCCACGCCACTGTTGTGCCTTTGACAGCCATGTCCCCAGCCCCGACAGGTTTAGGGATGACTGCGAGAGGCTCCAGGCTGGAGGCTGGGAGAGGAGGTGCTCCCTAACCAGAGCCTGCTTCCAGGAGGGATTTCCTCCAGGAGCAGCCAGAGGCTCTGAGCTCCTTCGTGTGCTGTCTGGCTGGGAAGAGCCGAAGGAGCAGGCGGGGAGCTCCAGATGAGGGTAAAGAAACCGTGACAACCTGCAGCCCAGCCTCTTGCGGTCACACAGATGGGTTATTCTGGGGCTAAAGAGGATCCAGCTCCCATCTAAGTTTTGGGGTTTTTTTTAATGGCTGGGGAACTCTTTCATGTGGCTTCTTTGGTGTCCAAGAGCGTGGCAACTTCACAAGTGATACGGGCGATGCCCAGTCTCCCCGGGAAAGGCAGGCATCCCCAAATGATCTACCTGTCATCCCTCACAATGGGAAAAACACATTCCTCATGCGCGGAGCAGGGCTGGCAGTTTCACAGCCGTCCTCTGTGCACTGAGCCATGCAATGGCAGCAAAATTACCTGCCACCTTCACACAAGGTGGTGACTGAGGGCTTCGGCTTTCATTCTGGCCTCATCTGCCACACTGACTTGTCAGCTCTTAGCAACGTTGCCCTCGCTTCAATTATTCACCTATGATTAAATCTTTACTTCTTGTTAACCCTAGGCCGTGTCTGCAAAGCAAATTGCAGCCCATCTAGGGTCTGGGGAAGTCAGCCAGAGCCTGACAACAAAGATACCCAGCGTGGTGGGCAGCTGGCTGAGCAAAATCCACCACTGAACAACTGGGAATATCTTTTGGAATAACAACCCTGCACAGTGCTCTGCATGCTGGGACCCGTGCTGGGACAGGGGTCCCTGCACGTCACTGCAATGCTCATAGCAAGTGAGAACAAGAAAAGCATGCTCCTTATGGGCAGCACAAGGTCACAAAGCAGCTTGTTTGAAAGTAAAGCACCTGCTTTTGAAAGTGGCTTTGGCCTTATTCTGCTGAATCCAAGCGATGCTGAGGAGTGCAGACATACTTGCTCTGTCCTCCTGAATGGCACAGACCTTGGAAGCTGGAACATGCCTGGCTGCCTCGCGGTTCCTCCCCTCGTCTCCTCCCCCCCGAGGACTGATGCAGACTTGAGCCTAGTCGGGAAATGGGGATTGGTGCTCCTTTCCCTCTAATAAATCAGCGGTGTGATTTGCACGCTGCTACCTCCTGCCCACGCAGGCAATGCCTCCACTTGGAGGGGGCGGTGGGGGGAAAGGCAGCACTGATTTTAGCTGCTCTGCCTTGCCTGCACACTCCTGTCAATCAGCAGGCGACCCATTCAGGGCCATTTATTTCTGGCTGCAAGTGGATTATTTGGAAGCTGTTTCAACAGTTGTTCAGACTCCTCAAAATAGGCTGCCTGCAGCTCCAGGCTCCTTGCTCTCTCCTGCTGCTTTCTTCTCCTTCTGAATAACTCACACCAAAAAAAACCAGCTGCCTGGAGGGTACCCCACAGCTCCGATCCTCCCCATCTCCACCTCCCAGCACGACATTTCAGCAAGGGCTTTGGCTTACATCCCTCTCCTCTAAGCTATTAGGATTGTTATCCTAAATGAAATGCAAGGCTCAATCCTTATTAGAGATATAAGGCTTTCTGAGAAGGATTGCCCTGTGCCACACATAGCAGGGTCTACCTGCCAGGATAGCAGGGGGATCGCAGCTGCTGAACACTGCCAGGCTCTCCTGGCTGTGTGACCAGCAGCTCCGAGTGCTAGCAAGATCCAAGGGTGGACTTTTGTCTTTCTGTTCCTGGGTGGTGCAGCCATGCAAGAAGAGACATTTCCCCTTGTTGTGCACTTAGGTAATTTAGAGATTTAAAAGAATCACAGAAGGAAAACATGCATCAGCAGCTTACAAGCCCACTGAGAGAGGCCAGGACCCAAGCAAAGCCCTACATAAAAGGTGAGAGGGTTCCACATCTGAGGAGCCAGGAGCAGAGGCCAGGCTGCTTCAGGCATTTTGCAGAGATCGTTTCAGTTGTCTCATTCAATTGCCATGGGTGGAAAAAATAATCTAGCTAGATGTCAAAAACCTCCCATCAGGAATTCCAGTTTCCTTTGCCTCTGTGCTATAAATACCCCAGTGTGCAAAGGGTGAATGTGGAGCTGTGAGTGGCAGCTGGGGGGCTTATGTCAGGATCAAGCGACGTTTAGCTATTGTTAAATGAAGTGCCACACGCTGGCTCACACCCATGCCTGGGCGCTGTGGTGTTTCCCCACTCAAAGCCAGCTCCAACGGGCCTCGCTGGGTGGTGGGGAGGAACGGGCAGCCCTCCAGCACGGTGTCTGCCCAGCTAGTAGGTGGAGGGCAAGGTGGGAGTACAGAGAATTTAGGCAAACCTGTCAGCATGACTCTCCCTGGCCAAGCACTGGGTGTGAGCTCTTCCCCTTTCCCACTGCGTGCTCTGTGCCGGGGTGTAATACCGGAGACCCGGAGGCACTGAAATCAGAGCAGGAGCAGGCAGCAGGTTTTGCTGAGCAGAAGCCAGCCTCTGGCTTCTACCCCGAGTTTTGCTGCTGTGATGGTCCCTTATGATCCTGCCTCAGCAGCCAAGGGGTACTTGTTCCATGTAACAAAGCCGGATAATTAGAAAGGCAGGACAAAAATGTAGACACTTGGATCCTTGTTTTCTGCTCTGTTATTACCTTCCCTCTCTGGAAAGGAAAGCTTTCCAGGAAGAACATAACTCTAGCTAACTCGGTTTAGGGAAAGGTAATGGCATTCACAATGCTGCTTCTAATATTACACTTCCTATCTATTAAGCCTCAGTGCTTGGTCTCACAGAAGGAACCTCCCAAGTGTTTTCCCAGCCAAATAATCAGCAGCGATGCTAACAAATAAATTGGAAATCAGGGAAGTAGTATTTTGCATTAGCAACTTTCTTATAGGATATTACAGCCCCTAATTAGCCGAGTCTGATTGTACCCTGGTGTAGTGTGGGTCTCACAGGATATGGGCTTGTGAGCCAATGTGCAAAGCTGTTCCAAGAAAAAGCCATGAGGAAAAAGCTCCATCTACAGAAGTGCTGCAAATAGACCCAACCAAGCTTGCTGCCTGCCCTGCCTGGCCCTGGGAGTGCTTCAGTGTGTGGAGAAACACGAGAGGAAGTGGAGGGACTGTGCGTTTTTCCTCCAGGCTACGGTAACACATTCCAGCAGGTAAAACAGTGGTGTAAGGAGGACAGTAAATCATCCAGGGCAGGGGGCTGACTGAACTTGTGCGAAAGAGGATTTAGGAGAGACAGGAGGGCAACTTGTGGAGTTATAAAGCAGGTGAAGCATTTGAACAGATTCCCCAAGGAAATTGCAAAATCCCTCTTAGAAGATGCCTCTGGTCCTACCTGGCTGGTAGAAGTCCGGGGAGAGCTCCCTGGCCATCATTCTAGCTATGCCTGATTCGTTGTTAGCTGCCTGAGCTGCCTGCTCAGACCCTTCAGCCTTGGCTTTGGCATGAGCCGTCCTGCGGAGAGAAGAGAAGACAACAGTGAGCACTGCCTGAGCCAAGATTGTCCCAGCTCAAGCAGCGGACCCTGCCCAGTAACAAAATCAAATGAGCCCATCTGGCATAACACAGCACTCAGTGCTTGCCCACTTGACCCAAAAACCCCATGCTTGAGGAGAAAAGACCAGATTTTCAACAAGTAAGGGGCACAGATGCTTAAAGCTAAGGTGTGAAGGTTGCATGTAGCTACACAAGGGAACAGGGCAGGCGTATTTGCAAACGTGAACACGTTCATGTGTTACAGCAAGGCAGCAGGTGCTGCAAAATGGCCTTGCTGCCATGCTGCAAGGCACTGAAAACCTAGCTCAGAGGAATGCCTAAAGCATCACCGCAGGCATTTTTGGAGCATAAGGGGACAACATGATGGCTGAACACCACTGTGCTGTCACCAGCCCTGAGCTGCTGCACCTTGCCAGAGGCAACGTGTCCCTCCCCAGCACACCGGACATGTTTTACCCCAAATGTCTCTCCTGTAGCTCTCCAGCAAACAACACTCATTGTCCAAGGGGCTCCTTTACTCACTGCAGCCCAGGGGGCTGCTCTCACTGGTGCTAGGAAAGGCAGAGCTATTGCCTCCCTCTGAGCTTGGCTCCCCGAGTCCGCTCCAATCCTTCCCAGCACATCTCCTCCTTGCTCCATAGGGCTATAGGGCTATCAGAGTTATTTCGCTGGCCGGCTGTCATATTCCTCGCATGCCTCGCACTCGGGGCCCTGTGATCTTTATGCTAAAAGCAGGGCTGGCTTTACAGCCCAGCTGCTCACAGTCTGGAAAGGAGCTGACTTGAAACAGCAAAATCGCACCTTAAAAATAAGGGAGGGTGAAGCACCATATATTCAGCTGCTTTGTTCCACCCAGGACTTACAGAGAGCTGCTTTCCCTGTGCTCTCACTATCATGTTTGCTGAGGCTCCCCCTATCTCCCCTGTTGCACATAATGGCGCATACACCGGCTGCTCATGCAAAACCACGTATTTTTGTGTGGACAGTTAGATAAGCAGTTAGCAGCCCTCAAACACCAATTCACTACGAATTACAACCTTTAATGTGGTCTTAGGGTGTCTGATGAGCCCTTTTCAGACTTAGGTTGGTATCTGGCCATAAAATGAGGAAGGAGGCAGTTCTCATCCTTGCAGTGAAAATGCTCCAGAGGAATTTTTGGATTGTCAATCAGTATAAATTCTTTCCCATTAAACCGAGATGCAGTATGCAGACAAGACTAGCTTTAGTCTGAATACTCAACAGGTGCAATGAAAAGGCGATAGAAATGCTGTTCTGAGACCCTTAGAAGGTAGAAGATACGTATACACACATACATACACACACACCATTTTGAGTAGCTGTGGGGAAAGAACTAAACGTAGGGCATTAATCCCAACTGATACAGGCAACAGTGTGACTTGATGGGGAGCCGAAAACGCTGTTCAGGGCCCTGCGATAGAGAAGAGGGTGCGGAGCTGCTGTGGCTGAGCCTGCCTCTCCCTGGGATGACATCCCGCTCCGCTGGATCCATGATTCACCTCCCTGCCCACACTCACACGTTATCTCCCCACTTTCTCTGCAGGCTGAGCTGCCTGGGATTGCTGTCATTCTTGGTCTTTTTATCCAAAATTATTACAGCTCCTGAAAAACCCAAGACACAAAAATGACAAGACATGATGAAGCAGAAAACAGCAATTTTAAGCCGTTGCTTGCAAGCAGGAGGTCTGAGGCAGCTCTGAACAGAGAAAGCACCTCCTTTTTTGGTAGCATATAATCAGCATGATTAATTCCACTATAATCTGGCAGAGGCCAAGGGGGATGTTTCTGTGCTCTCCATGCCTGGGGGATCAGAGCAGGCTGGGCCTGCTGCATGTGGGGCACACAGCCTGCCTGGTGCCGGCCCCGGGAAGAAGCTTGCAAAGTGAGGATCCAGCTCTTCACCCTAGCAGGACGTGCTCTGACCCCTGGCTTTGTCCTGCTCCTCTCAGAGGATGCGATTCACCATACAGAGATAAAATCCTCCCTTTCAGCTGCTCACTGAGCCAGGCAGAGGCTATTCCAGCCACTTCCCAGCCAGATAATCAGCCAGCTGGCCCCAGCTGGGGGAGCAGCAGGCAGCTCCTGGCAAGCGGGTGGATGCTTTCCTAAAGGTGACTTCCAAAAAAGTAGTCTGGAAGTGGACTGGATGCAGGGTCTGCTCCCTCCACTAGTAAGGACAGAGCTGGACTCATGCCGATGTGCTACCAAATGGGTGCAGATGGCTCCTGGACGCTCGGCTCTCCCCCAGCACCTGGGGCCAATGCAAGGGAACAGCTTGGGGGTGTTGGAGGTGACAAGGCAGCTCCCAATTACGCTCTTCTGCTGGAGATTTCCTTTCCTCCAGAGAAGCTGCTGGATGCTATCTGGCTGCTGCATGTGGCTTGAGTGCTGCAATTCCTGCATGTAAAGAGATGGTGAGACCAGGAAGACCCCAGCTTGGGTTGTAGAGGCTGTGGTGAGGAAGCTGCAGGTGCTGAGGAGCTGAGCTGGCTGGGCTGAGCCATCGCTGTGAGCCACCACGGCCCCAAGGCTAGCAGGGCTCTACAGTGAGCCCCCCTGGGCACAAGGGGTGTGAGGCCAGGGAGGCCCTGGGGCAGCTCCCAAGCTCCATGCATGGAGCTGTGACAGCAAGCTGAGCAGCACGACTTTGGGATCCCCTGCTGCCCCGGGCATGCGAGCTGCACGGCAGCTTTGCCCAGCTCCCGCGCTCTGCGGGACATACCCGACCTCTGCTCCTGTCCCCCTGCTTGCAAAATCATCCAGAAGTGTTTGATTTGGGGGGACTAAGATCAACACAGCTGCAGCTTCAAATCTGGCAGCTCCGGCACACGACGTGTTGGCCCTGCCGGCGTCCCAGGGAGGCCGTGGCGCAAGGCAGAGCACTGCTCTCCGCTGGCCAGCAGCCTCTGGCCTCAGCAGGGAAGCTGATGCCCTGCGCTGGGTCCCTCCGTTGCTGAGCTCATTTCTCACAGCAGCAGCTGGGTGATGAACATCTGGCTTACAGAGGAACGGCACAGTGTTTTAAGTACACCTCCCCCAGCTGTGCCACGCATCCCCAGGGCAGGAAGGGAAGGCACTGCTGCTTGCAGCCCTCCAAAAAGATGCGCTGAGGGTTTAGCAACACCATGACAAAGAACAGCCTGGAGGAAAGGGCCCAGCCATAACAATAACATCTAACTTGCCTAGCGTATTTCTGAATTTACTATTTACCCCCACAGCTGGCAGTGCCTGGGAGCTAAACACAGAGAAAATCTTGGCCCCGGCTGCAAAGCAGGAAACAAATACCAGCCGCCCTGGGAGAGCCCAGCGCACACAACTCGTAGCACAAAAGCCTCTCCCAGCCCACGGCCTGGGGTCTGCCGGGCACAGTAGTTACAAAAAAAATAAAAGCTCAGGCAGGTCTGAGGGAGGCAGGAAGGTAACCTTTGAACCTTAGACATGAAACATCTAAGAAGAACGTTTTCTTTCAAGGTTAAGATCTGCTCAAAATATAGAATCAGTTTTTGCAAAAAGGAAAATGCCAGCCTTTTATTATATGCATATAAATTTGGTACTTTTCAGGCAGCACTTGAATCAGGGCCACACTTTTTTATTTACTGCTGGTTGTGCTGTCAGCTCCCAGCGCCTCTGCAGAAAGCAGCCCGTGCAAAAACCCGCAGAGGAGAAAGTCTGGAGATGGAGGAGGTCAGGGTGAAACTGAAACAGAGGCCCACAGATTTTATAGCACCCAGCAGCAGAATTCAAAGCCCCTTTTCAAGGCAGTGCTGGAAAATGAGCCACAAACATTAAACATGTCCAACTGGGGGCAATAAACACAAAGAGGGGCCTTTGCAAACCAACACCGGTGCTCCCCATCCCAAGCGAGGCAGTACTGCCCGGAATGAGCGCTTCCCAGTTTCACCCTGAGCCATCAGCCCGGGCAGTGCTGTTAAAAATAGCTCCGGTGAAGTCTTTGCAAGGAGGAGCAGCAGCCCCGCGCCAAGCGGAGGGGAGGTGTGTGGGCAATGCCTGCAGCCCTCGTCCCAGCCCTGCTGCCGCTGCCTCGGCTGCTCTGGGGCAGCCCTGGGTGGAGAGGGAGGGTTAAATGCATCTGCTGTTTTATTTGCTCCTCTGGCATGGCTCTAATGCCCTAATCATTTTTGTACTAGTGCAGGACAGAGCACCACTCCTGTCCTTCCTGGCTATCTCCCAGAAACACTGCCTGAATCATTCCTCTGACTGCTACTAAAATCCCCTGTGGATACATGAGCCGCAGCTGAGCACCATGCTAACAGGTGAGACCCAAAGCCAAGCCAGCACGCCCATCTCTTTGGACGGTTTATGCAGTTTTGCACATCCACATTGGATTAGACTGTAAATGAGATTGGAATTAGCAGAGAATACTGCAAATACCAGACAGGGCTGGGGTGTCTGCAGGTGCAGCGATGACCTTGTGGCTAGAAATAGGGGAAGAGCTCAGCTCTCTGCCGAAGCTATTGCACATTTGCTTATTAAGGGAAAGACAGACCTGTCCAGCATTGTCCTTCCTTCTCCAGGGTTTCCTGAATCCCATTGATTCAGCAAACCCTGAGAAAGGACCAACTGAACACCTTTTTCTGGCCATTCTCAATATAATAAGCTGCAAAAAAAGGTCATTAAGCAAATAAAATTCATCAGTCAGCTCTAGGAAGGAAGACTTATGCTAAACTCCCCTCTCCTGGACAGTGGCTTTTCCACCCCCAGCCAAATTCCTGCTCCAGTATCTAGCAGGAATCGTTGTGTCCTTCTGAAGAAACTTAAGATAACAGTTTGTCTTGGCAGGAATTTTTGCAGCACTCAAAAGGGATACAGGGAAAGCTGCAGAAGTGCTTTTGCTGATGGCAACATGGTCCCTTCTGCATTCACACCGCAAAGGGCAAGGACCCACAGACCTGTGTTGGGGGTTGGACTAGATGACCTTT